GATCGCTTTACATAATCCTAAAATATGAGTAGGTAAACATATTTTAATAGTTTCAGAGATATTAATAAATAAATCGTTAAAATGGGACTTGCACATCGAAGGTTTATCAAAGAAACTAAGCGCTGCCGGTTTTGCGCTAAGATCAGTTTCTAAGGAACTTAACTCATCAACCTCTAGAATGGTCTATTATGCCCTTTTTGAGTCGCATCTTCGTTATGCCCTTCCATTCTGGGGTACTTGCTGCGCGACAAAATTTGATCGTATTTTCAAACTTCAAAAGAGAGCAGTTCGATACTTATTGGGACTAAACAGTAGAACTCACTGTCAGAATTTCTTTAAAATTTTCAAAATACTGACTCTTCCTTCCTTATTCATTTTTGAATCCGTTTGCTTAATCCGCAAGCACATATCTGCTATTCCGGAAAGGCCTTCTCACAACTATCCACTTAGAAATGCTCGATATTTATCTGCCAACCCCGAGCTCAGAACTAGTTAAGGGCTCAATACTGTACAATGCCAAGAAAATGTACAATCATTTGCCTTCGAATATCAAGTCACTTTCATTCTTTCCCGCATTTAGCAAAGCTCTGAAATCATACTGGAGAGAGCCCTATATAGGGTAAACGACTTTTTTGTTGATGTTTAATTATGAACAATTTTGAATTTTAAAATTTTGTTCATCTCACACACGAAGGTCTAGTATTTAATATTTAATATTTTATAACTCTTGATTTTATGATATATAACATGATTTTATCCATTTACAGTTTTCCTTTGGTAAAATTTTCTTGATACGCCTGTGTAATGTCCATGTATGTTTTATTTGTAATTTTAATGACGTGAATTTTTTTGAATTGATTTGTATTGTATGACATTTTTTTATTATTTGTATATTTGTTTATGTGCTTTTTTGTTTTGTGAATGCTTTGTCGATAAAGCTGTTTTGGCTTTTTGTACAATAAAGCGTTTTTTTAGTATGTTTTTTTCATCATACGGTATAATAAAACAAATATTTATCTTTTCTGTGTATAAATAAAAAAAACAGCATCGCTTTTTTGTTCATTTATTACCAACTTTCCACGTTACAACAACTGGGGGTTGAAAAAAATCGGAAAACAATAAAAGCAAATTATCTTCCGAAATGAAAGTCGTCACAAATAAATGTGACAAGCCCTTGTTTGTCTAGTTTAATTCCATTACCACTGCCATAGGGTTTATAACACGATTCCTGGATAAGTCCAGGGTTCGAGGAACTATTATTGCTTGTGGTGGCTCGCATGGGAATAAAAATTATGGGGGAATCACCGGGAAACTATTTTATCTGTGATAAAATACAATAAGTGTCTGATAGGGAATACTTAACTCGTTTTTTTTTATTTTCTTTAATCTTTAATATTTCTCAAAAAATACATAATATCAGCAAGAAATGGCATATAAAATCGCTCTAACTCAGCTATATAATTTAATTTAACTAAGAGTAATAATTGAAGAATTAGTTTTTTGGCTCAAGTAAAATACAAGACCCTGTTCTGTATAACACATAACATGTGTTTACTGAAACTGCCGGTTGCACAACGTTCAATGGAACGAAATATGTTGGGAATAACCAAGAAAGACCTAACCAAGAGAAGATACGACAAAAGAATATGGTAATAGATGTCATCCACAAAATCAAATCCCTCAAATGGCAATATGCAAACATTTTCAGAGCTTGCCGTCCCTTGCTAAGTCCCCAATAGGGTAGTTATTTTACTTTAAAAATTTAAAAAAATATATTTTTTGATGAAATTTTGTGAGGACTGTTACTTTTTTTTTCTTCCTCTAAATTTAATCTACTATCTCTGGTTGTTATAGGATGTTAATTTTTAATACACTATGTTGTTATATTCTCTCCTCATTATTCTGTACAGTTACTTATCATCTTTACGTCATCTAGCATATTTTATGTTCTTTAAATTTCACAGTAATTGAGATTATATCCGCCTCATTACCGCGCACTCTAGAATCCTGGCCAATATTTAAATTGACATTATTTACGAAACTGCTAATGAATACAAATGTGCGGGAGCTATACGTGAAAAATACGAGTGGCTTGATAATAACAAGCAATTTAATTTAAACGTATCGTTTTTATTTAGTTAAAAGGTATAACATTAAAACTGTCTTCAAATCTGGTTCCAAAATTTTTATATGCAAACGACTCTAATGCCGGGTCCAGACCAAGGTGACAAAAAATAAACACGATTTTGAGGCAAAAACAAGACAAACTTGTCACATAAAATGGAGACTTCTGATAAGACAAACTTGAGACAAATTGTCCACACCGCAATGACAAAAGTACAAAAAAGTCAAAAGTTTAGTTATTGCGAATGAGTTTTATTAACCATGTGTGATTTCAATGGTCTCCTACTGTTGGCAGCACACGCCATCCACACTGCGCCGACAACTTGTCGCAAAATATACGAACAAAACATAGACACTTTGATCTTTACCGACTCGAGACGGGACATTGAAAAGTCTCCGAATTTTGAAACAAAACAAAAATGAGACAAAAATGTCACAGAAATATATTGGATTTGTCACAACTTTGTCGTAAAACATGAATGTTTCTGTCTTGTCACTTTTTTGTCTGCTTGGTCTGGACCCGGCATAAGAAGCGTCCTAACAAAAACAAGACCGGAAACATTGAAACAAGAGGCAGAGTACCAAGTACGTACTACCAGGTACTTTGTGAATGCGGTGAGTCGTATATTGAAAATATAACACGTCTTCTAACTGTACTACTTAGCGAACACATAAAACATGTACGAAAAGATGAAACAATGAAGTCAAGTAGGTATTGCAGAGTATTTGGGTCCAAACAGTACAATATGAAGTGGTCTGAAGCTCAGGTTGTCCAAAGGTAACCTCATTAGAGAACTCGTAAATTTAAAGAAGCCGTTTATATTGCAAACAATAATAACATTATTATTAACCCGGTTATAAAACAAACCAATGGGGAAATTCTCAGTGGATAACCTTTCGGTTAACTGCACTCAACTTTTTACTGAAGAAGATACAATACGTATTAGTCCAATGTTGTGTTAAAGGTTAATATTAAAGACAAAGTCAGTAAAAAACATTTAATTTCAAACTTATTTTGGTCCTCTCTGGCTTCGCAGACAGTAGATACACGTTTACCAAATGCCCGAGGCCGAACATTTCCAATCGAACGGTCCTTCTAGGGGGTCGATTGGCCTTTCTACCTGGCGATTGGCCGCCGACCTTCTGTCTTACGCCGACAGCTTAATCGACCCGTTAAAAATTAATTATCTCCGTGTTTTGGGACGACGCGATCGGCCATAGAACGGACCCGTCGCGCGTCGAACATTGCTTGGACAGATTTCGATCTGAAAACACCGAAGTAGAGAACAACGAATGTCTGAAGATTAGTCATATTTTTTTATTAACAATTGGCTGTCTGAGTGGAGTATTTTGGAGTAACGAAAAAGAGAAAACATATACATTGATACATTGACAGTTTTTGATATTTATTTGAGATTCAAAATGACATTCTTTTAGGCACTAGTATCTAAAAGTGACACATTATAGTGCCTAAAAGTAAAAAATGAAACGTTGGAAACAATGAAAATATTTATTTATTATAAATCTTAGAGGTACAATTATTTAAATTATTAAAGTGCATACAAGAGTCATCCAACTTTTCGTCTCTAAGAGAAATGCAAGTTGTAGGAGTCGGAATAAGGAAATTTCTTGTACTGTCAATGCTGGTAGCTTCTGCTTCTACGTGAACTGCTTTTAATTTCTTATTTGGCGTATCTTTCTGTCCCATGATTCTTTTTGCTATTTCGGTTTTCTCTTCAATTGAATTTTCAATGTAACCTTCAGCAACCGAGCTTGATCGCCAACCTCAATGTCGCTTTAAAACTGTTATGTCCGCTCCTGAATCTGACACCATTGTTGCAGAGCTGTATTCAATGGCGTTGGAGAGTCCAAGAAATTCCGCTATCTTTTTTGGCACACCCCCAATTGTATTGATTCCAACTGGCAGGGTACAGCATTGATTTTTTCGATACGTCAAAAAAAATCGCTGATGTGTCACATTGAGTAGTCGAAGTTTTGGGTACTTTATATACGAAATACATGTAAGAAATTGATATCATCTATAATATTGGTCTCTCAGTAATCGTAAACACTCTTGGAAAATGAGTTTTTGTATTCGGAATCTTCACACTAATAAATGACTGACAGTCAAAAACGTGATTTCTTCCCTCCTACATGCTCCAAATACTCCAACGATTAAGACAACTTTAGCTAACAGGAATTCTTTCATAAAGCGTTCTATTTCCAGGTTTGTAAATACTTTTTGATTTCTTTGCCTGATATCCGGAAGCTTTTCTTTTTAAAAAAGCAATAAGGTTTGTGAATTTGCTAATATCTACATTTCTGTTCAGGTAAATCATGGTGCGGAGCATCGAATATTTACTCCACAGAGTTGACGGCTTTAAGGTAGTGGATAACTTCAGGAAATAGGCTAGCAATACCTTTTCTGTGAAATTCTCAACATGTTTTTCTTTGACCCAGGTTTCAAAGTTGTTGTAGGTGGTCTCGTATAAGTTTTTCGACTTCTCGGGCACGTGGATAGCGCAGTTTCAGCAGCTTGTTGAATATCCAAAGACTCGTCATTATCACTCATTTTTTCACAAAACTTTGTAGGAAATACGGCGACGATTGAACCTGACAGAACTTTGTCATTAAACAATGCATAAACATTGCTTTAGAAACCGATTACCAGAACATTTTAAAAATTGTTTAAAAATAAATAATAATAATAGCATGAAAATCTCAAATTATCCGCTTTCACAAAAAATCTTGTATGAAATTCGTTGCAAAAAGAGTATTTTAAGCACTCGGCTTTCGCCTCGTTGGACAATTTTACGTCCCATGCTTAAAATACATTAATTTCGCAACTTGTTACATAAATAGCTATTTTGACTAACCTGCCTGTTTTAGTTATGATCATTTCCGTTCCCAATTCATTAAACTTATCCCAAAGATCTTTGGTTTCCAAATGACAGGTGACTTGTCGAAGATCTTCGCTAGTCCATTTCTCTTGCAACAGAGGATTTTTCGTCGAAGATCTATAAAAATAAAAAAAAACATATATATGTAACAGACAACAAAGATGATTTTGTAATTAGATGTTGAAATGAAAGACGAGTATGCAATATACGCAACATAACTAATATTTCTTTTTGTAAATAGAAACATTGTCATGATTTATAAGTTATAAAACATTGCATTTTTGCAGAAAACCAATATAGCCATTGATAATATTTTTCGAGTTGCTTACCTAGAATCGGCGAAAGATTGTGAAGGTGTGCTGGACTCAGAAGTCGAAGACACGTCAACTGGTGAATCCCTGCCACTCTCTGCGTCGGTCTGGATCGCGGTACAGCTCAGACCACCTCCTTCTGGAGGTGACGGTACCGAAGTCGAAGAAGAATCGATAAATTTATCTGGAAATAAATGTAAATTTGAAATTTCATGTTATTTTATAAAAATATTTTTATATTTATATTATTATTTTACATTATAGATTGTATGGGACAGGGAAGTTAATCATAGCGATACAATAGATCTATTGTGTCTCTCTTTCTTGAGTTATAACTCATCATATTCTCAGGGTTTTGACAAAAGCCAGTATCTGAGATGCTTTTACAGAGGTTATTTCTCCATCTCCGATATCAGTCGTACCAAAATTTATGTCACAAATTGTTGTCGTCTCGGGCAACTCAGAGATGAGGTGTTCTGGTGTTTCCCCATTTTCCTCACAGAATCTGCATTTGCAGTTCATTCTTAGCTTCAATCTACTAAAGTGTAAAAACCCGTGAGGTATGAAAACTGTGAAAATCCGAAGATTGTTTTTACTTGAATACTACTAAATACTATAGAAAGGTGTTTCTAAGAGTTGTACATTCTTGGTATGTCAACCACTGGGAGTTGGAGAAGTGAAATTATCCTTTTAAGGGTGTTCTGCATTTTACACAGGTTTTACCTTGCTGTAGTTGCTTTAGATTTGTGTAGCAAAGCAACTGCTCCATAAGTAATCATGGATCTTACTATCATGGTATACATCCAGCTCAAAACGTTAGCGCACCTATTTCCCGCAAGCTTTTGGCATATCATGAGAGCCTTTTTGGCTTTGCTGGTAATGCTTTTAATATTCCTGTTCCAGAGAAGTTTGCTCTCGAGGATTATACCCGAATATTCGACTTGATGTATTGGTAGTATTTATTTTTCATCTAATTGGAGTCTTTCAGACTTCGCTTTCTGATAAGTGGTTTTTTATGAGTTGATGCTCAGCCTGACAGTCCTGCAATGTCTCTCAGTGATACGGAGCTCTCTTTGGATAATACATACATACTGCCATTACTCGCTGACGAGTATTTGACACGCATCAGAAGATGGTCACACACGGCGTTTTCTTTCATGAGCTTTTCTATGACTGAAAAGCCCAATACGTGAAGTTATCTGTCTATCGCACTCCGGACATTCAGAAATCTCATTGCTTTGTTGCCTCTTTACTTTTTGGTTGTCGCCGTTAACTGAGTTTACAATTCTCCATTCCGTTCTATTGTGCATGTTAATTGTCCTTCTGTTCTGCATGTTAATCCCCTTTAAATTTTCGTGGAAAATATCTTTGTACATTTTGAGTTGTCCACCCGGCCTCATCTTACTGTCTACAAGTTCACCGTAAAGCAGAGATTTTGGTATGCGGTTTTCTTGCATTCTGGATACGTGACCAGCCCATCTTAAGCGGGACTTTGTAATCATGACTTCAATACACTCGCAGTTAGCTTTTTCAAGGACCGATACGTTTGAGATATAATGAAACCATTTGATCCTTAAGAGTTGTCTGAGATGTCTCTGTTGCATCTTGTTTAGTACGTTCATGTGTCGGCGATACGGCACCCAGGTTTCACTTCCATATAACATGGTGGGAATTATTATTGCTCGGTACACTGCAAGTTTCGTTTTTGTGCTCAAGTCATGATTGTAGAAAACTCTGTCTTTTAATTTCCAGAATGCTCTTGAGGCGCTGCTAATCCTGTGCTGAATTTCAGAGTCGATATTAGCCTTTTCCGAAATCAAACTGCCGAGGTAATTGTATTCCGCTACATATTCCAATAGTTCTTCTATTTTTATAGCATTGTTGTCATCTTCCGGGGGAGTGCACATGATTTTAGTTTTATCGATGTTCAGCTTAAGTCCCAAAGCCTCGTATGCCCAGGTATGTGTTCACCATTTTTTGCAATTGCTGTAACTCTTTGGATAATATCACACAGGGTACCTTTATGTTTCCCCCGAGGAATCATGAATATGTCGCCTGCATACCTTATGCAGTATATTCATACATATGGACTCCTATGGATACTATGGAAGAGTCTCCACCAGTATTAACGGTTCTCTATGTTTACCTAATTCTCTGAAGTATAAACGTATGAAATTTAAATATAACAATTACATACACGAAACGATTAAGCTATCAGAGCAAAGCGCGTGTGTATAATTTTGTCGAGACACTTCGTATCCCAATAATTATCGTGTAGCCTCTCTGTGTGTTCGGCTCTGTGGACAAAAAATTGTTTTTTAATGACCGGGCCGGCGCGTTTGTGCGCTCCAATCGTTAGATTTTGATAATTGTCGGCCATTAGCCATTAGCTGTTTGTGTTGCCGTCGCTGTAATTTACATGATCGTTACATGTAGCGCAGATACACATCTCTTTATGCCGTTGTGTTATTAAAGCTTATTTGTTACATAGGACCATTAAGCAGGTACTACTGAAAAATAATCTATCTTCCGTAGTTTTTTTTTCGTGGTTTTTTTTTAACGATTTTTGTTCAAATAATGTCTAGGTATTGAAAAGGTATACTTTTGTGGAAAACTAAATACTCCCAACCATTAGGCACCTAATCTACGCTATAAAGATGCATACAATTTATCTTTTTATCCGAAACGTTGAATTGACGTCGTAAAATCTTGTTGTAGACAATTCTCTGAAATATGACATGCATATCGATGCTTTGTCGAAAAAATTAAGCTCTGCCTGTTTTGCGTTAAGATCTGTTTCTAAGAAGCTTAACTTGTCAGTGGCTAGAACTGTTTATTATGCACTTTTTGAGTCGCACCTCAGATATGCCCTTCCATTCTGGGGTACGTGTTGTGCGACTCAATTTGACCGCATTGTCAAGCTCCAGTATATATTCACTGGGACTAAACAGCAGAACTCATTGCCAGGACTTTTTTAAAAATTTAAAAATATTAACTCTTCCTTCCTTATTTATATTTGAATCCGTTTGCCTAATACGTAAGCATGTATCAGGTTCTCAAGAAAGGCCATCTCACACTTATCCACTCAGGAACGCGAAGCAAGATCATTATCTACCTACCCCACGCTCAGAGTTAGTTAAAAGTTCAATATTACAACTCGAAAAAAATGCACAATCACATTTTCTCCATTTCGCAAAGCATTGAAATCTTATTTACTAGACAAGGCTTTCTACGCCGTTTTTTTACGCCCAGGTTTTTAACAAGACACTGTCTCATCAATGAACATTCAGCATGTCTCAGTAGATTAAAGCTCAGAAACAACAACAAATACAGATTCTGTAGGGAAAATGGGGAAACACCAGAACACCTGATCACTGAGTGTGCCAAGACGACAACCATTCGTGCAATAACAATAACAAAAACAATAACTTTTCTATTTTGTAGATTTCTTGTCCAGTAATGAAAAATCAAAGAACTTTCCAATAAATGAACCCTTTTACAATAGACTACGATAGAGATTATTTACGAGTTCTTAGTTGAAAAATAAAGTTGAGTTTAAACGGTTTAATAAATGTTCTGTGTGGTTAATTTTATTTTATTTCATTTTAACGATACAAAAACCGGCATATTATGATAATAAATAAATTATTAACGCGCTAAAATAATTAATCCTTAAGCACCGTCATTAGTTGTAAAACGCTCAGGCCTTTATGACAGCCTGGATTATTTGCAGAAGAGAAAACTGTTATTAGGAACACCCACTAGCACTTTAGATCTAACAGAAACATAATAATAAACGCCATTACGTATAAACAAGCTGGAGATTTTATTGCTTCGAATAAAATTTCTACATAGATACATGCTGCTGCTATAAGTCGATTACTGATGTGGATTTAAAAGCAAAATGCGTTTAAATTTTAGAGATAGTATAATGCGAGGGGTGAACACTTAGGGGATTTATGGTGTACACATGAGAGGATTTCCAGGGGATGTACCGAGGATGTAGTTGATGTACCGAGGATGTAGTGGATGTACCGAGGATGTACTAGAGGATGTAGGGGATGTACCGAGGATGTACTAGAGGATGTAGGGGATGTACCGAGGATTTACCGGGGATGTATTTCGAATTATTTGGGGCGTAATTTGCCGAATGCGATGTTTGAAGTCATCCAAATTTGTGGGTTGTCTTTTGAATACATTTTCCATAAGGTATCCTCTTAAAAAAGGTTTTTTTCTAATATTTTTTTTCACTTTTTAATTTTTAAATGAGAATAACTCCAAAAAGCTTGGATTTGGGTATAGCACTTACATGGAAAATATTCAGAATTTTAAGAGCAATTCAAAAATGCAGAAAAATAATAATTATGTTGCCACGAGGGTTGTCATTAAAAGAAATTGTTTTGGACAAAGCATTTTTGAGACACCCTGTATAATATTCATTTTTTGCATAATCTGCCCCGGAAAAATTAAAATAATTGATGTGGCCGAGCGATTTCCAAAAAAATGTGGTTCTCGAGATGTTGATATTTATTCAATATTTTACAACCACCCTGTACGAAATCAAATAGGATCGAATATCGATATTGAGAATATAGATAGTTATAGATATTTCCGATATGAAGTATTCATAAAGAGATATAGCGGTATCTGTTATATCGATAGCTATATCGATATTTGTGGACGAATATATCGTTACTTGGTTTTCACGTATGTGAATTAGCTTGTGCACATCCGTTTTTCTCAATGAATTTATTAAATAAAGTTTCACAAGCCGATTTGCACAAATTTCATGGGAGTGAAAATGGACCTTTATTTGATATATCGATAAAAAATATGGATACTCAAGGCTTTGTGGCTCACCCCTACTCATAACCTCAAAATATCTCGCAAAATGTATGTATAAGTCAGAATATAGACTTTAATCCATATCTCTAGTATAAGTTTATGCAAAACTGTGTTTGGCATGTGTGTTCATATCTTATTGCATAGTGCCGTAAGCGTTATGAATTAAAGGGAAGTGTGTGTAAATAATTATTATTGTACCCTCTATACGTCAAAAACGAAGTTCATAAATGCGAATGCCTTTAGCGTTGCCTATTTTTAGGTCTGTTTTATAAAGTAGATCCTCGGTAGCTACTAGATCTCATTTTTATTTGGGGTTCAAAACACGAGATTGATAACTTT